ACACACACACACACACACACACACACACACACACACACACACACGTAACAAAGAAAAATTGGGGTAGGGGGCAATTCATTGAAACCCCAAGAGGATCTCAAGGGTGTCAGTTTCTGCATAGCTCTTAAGCAGGAACCGGTTCTTGGGCCCAAATCCTCAAAAGGTATTTCAGTATCTAATTCCCTTTTGAAATCAGACCTAAACCCCAGGACTAGATGCCTCACACTCAGTTTTAGGTATGACTGTGATCCATACTACACCCACTCAGCTGGCACCTAACCCTGTAAATGCCTAAATTCACTTGGTGCCTAAATATCCACTGTAAAAAGTTTCCTTGGCATCTACGTTTCTGCTTCTGAGCATTCACTCTACTTCTTCATGCTAGGCATCTTGACGCCTATCACCTGCCTATGACACTGATGCTACAGTTGTCCTCCTGATAACTTTCAACCCAATGATTAGACCACTCATGTGGGATATGGGGGACCATGGTTCAATTCCCCCTTCCACCTCCTGAGAAGGGATTTCAACCGGGGTCTCCCATTTCTCAGGTGAATGCCCTAGCCATTAGACTATGGGATAGTCTGATGGGGCTCTCAAACTCTCTTTGAAGCAGTTCAATTTTAATTAAATAACTAAATATTAATTGGGTGAGAGGAGGCATGAGAACCACTCCACAGTCCAGTGGCTAAGGCACTCACCTGAAAGGTAGGAGTCAGGAGACCCTTCTTCACATCCTCTCCCCTCATCAGGCAGGGGGGGAAATTGAACAGGGGTCTCACAGACCTGGGTAATTGCTCTAACCATTGGGCTAAAGGTTATGATGAAGGCCTCCTCCCCTTGTGCACCCTGACAATTTTGTGAGGCAAATGGCTAACTCCAAATTCATTCTTGCAAGAAATGGCTTAGGAACCAAAGTCACCAGACTCCAGAAGAGGGACTCTTGACTGTGGATCTCAAGCAGAGAGAGGCACCTACCTGCAACCCAGACTTAGGTGCTGAATTTCATGAAAGCCATGGGGCTTAGGACAACTCTTCTTGTCAGCATCTGCCATTGATTAGTTTAGGCTTAGGGTGGATCCCAGTCTTCGGTACCTATTTCTCCCTATGCATTGTATAGGGAGCCTAGGCATCTAATATAGGCTTTGTGGATGCCATTGTTTTTCCAGTCATGTTCTAGGCTCCTCAAAGTTAGGTGTTCCAGCACCGAGCATTGCAATGCCTAAGTCCCTTTATGGATCTGGGGCAAGGTGCTTAAATACCTTTGGGGCTCTGGACCTTGATAAAGAGTGCTGTCCCAGTCCTGGAAGGGATCTGTGCTGGAAGCCCACATGGAACCATATTGCCTTCAAAGATCAGATGGTGTAAGGAACCATCTGTATGGATCCATTTACAGGATAAGGACCTAATTATTAACCAAACTTGTTTATGCTGATTTTATCCTGTTAACATTTTAAAATAAAAATTCAACATTTTAAATTTAAAACATCCAGAGATACCTCCATCCTTCCTCTTTACACTGACATAAGGTGAGTCCACACATCCAAGGGAACCACTTTTCAGCCACTGTGTGATGTGGTGAAATTCAATATATATGCATATTTACAAAACAGTCAGTATCACTTTCCTTTCCCTAATTTTTCAAACCCATTTTAATCTTCACACTTTGACCCCGTTATCAAACCTCAGCTAATTTTTATGCTTCCCAGAGCAATTTAGGATTGCTTAATCATCATTTATTTGTACTGCATTAGCACCCACAGGCTAATGTAACTGAGACAAAGACACAAATTGCAACTGGGATTGGGACACCACGGTAGCAGACATGGTAAAAATACTTTCTGAGAGATTCTCTGCTTACTGAGAGATTCTGTAACTGAATCGGTTTAAATAGAGAAAGAGTAGGGAGAACAGAAGCACAGAGAAATAAAATGAATTACCTAAAATCACACAGCAAGTTAGGGCCACAGCTGGCTCCTAGTCCAGTGCACTACGCTCTAGACCATGATGTTGCTCAGGTAGTGAACATTTTTTCCCCATGAACTTTCACATGTAATTGTTGCCAGTTCATTTTGTTTAATTTCCTTTCAACGTCTCAAAATATAACTTGACATATTTTTGAGGGCTCAAACTTTTTCCACAGATATTTTTGTTAAATTAACTTCTAATTCAAAATGTCATGCTTTTGCACTTCGTGAATTCAAAATGTCATACACAAGTACCATGGCAGCAGACTATGGAAATCTTGGCGTGTGGAGAGAAGACAGGAAGCAATAGAGTAACAGATGCTCACACATATTTAAAGTCTATTGTATATACAGAAAGACATGCAGCAGGCCAGGCTGGGACAGAGATGGCCAAGGTTCTTTAGTGGAACCCCACAAGGCCAATTTTAAAGTCAAATTGTGGGGAGGGGGAATTTTACCTTAAGCTTAACAGTCAGATACACTGGGTGTCCAGGGGGACCAGTCAATGTTTTCATAACTGCCTGTCTGTCTTATCCTCGTGGTAAGAATTTCTCTTCTCTCCAAATGGTGACCAGTTTTGGTGGGAAATGAAGAATTAGTGTTGATTCTTACTGCCAAATCAGTCAATATTGCCTGGATTCACTGTGGAGAGTTAGAACTTGATCTTACTGCCATTGAAGTCAATAGTAGTTTTACCACTCACATAGACTGAGTCCAAGGCCATATCCTGAACCCCATTCCAGCTGCTTTCCACAGCTCTGTGACACAAATCAGACATAAATATGGTAGGACATGAGTATCCTCGGATTGTGTAGCAGTCTCACCTCATTCTCCTCCTTCCCTTGCTACCTTGGAAGCTCAAGCATCCTAGAACTGCTGGAACAGCCCATTGGAAACTGTTGGCCCCGAAGCTGATCTGTGTTATGCCTGGGACTGGTCCAGAGCTGAAGTGGCCCTGGAAACAGAGGAATGCATAAGTGGTTTAAATTCACTTTTGGGACTACCCGTCCTAAGCTGTGCTGAATTGGTTTGTGACATGGTGCTGGCTCCTCCTCGTTTCCAGCTCCTAAACAGCATTAAAAAGGACAGATGCAGTATAAATACTTTCCTAATATTTCTTTTTCATTTCACAATTACCTAGTTGTCACAGGGATGTTATGAGAGGAGTTGATCCGGGGGACAATCTCTCCAATAGGAAGTGGTCTACACTATTAAAAAGCTTGAGAATCCCTCATATAAATGGTTTAGTAACCCAAGTAAAGACATTTATTTTTAATGTGAATTTAACCTGACTGAGCCCCTTTAAGTATTAACTTTTTCCAATTAATATTCTGTACTAGGAATTACTCAAATCAGCATCCAAAACCTAAGGTAGCTTCTAAGTTTGGTTCAGCACTGCCTAGAGTGATTGTAAGACTTAGTACTTTTGTCTTTAAATGCAACCTCTGTGGTATCAGAGAACAATAATGCATGTAGACAACAAGTGATGACATTCCTCTCCTTGGGGCACTGCACTCAACCCCACGCTTGAAACAATATTTCACAAAATGTAGAGGAAATAAAAAGAGAAAGGAAAAGGGACAGCAGCAATTGACCTATATAAAAGTTGGCCCTGAAAATTGCCCAGAAAGCAGAAAAAGCCTCACAAAAGAAAAGAGGTCATACAGAAGAGGAGAGAGAGGGAAAACATCCCGTTCTAAGGATCATATTTTTTTCCTGACATCAAAATTTAGTAATTAACCAAACCGTTAATCTACACAATACAGGCCTGATGCTGCAACAGTTGCTATGAAGAGAAGTGCTTAATACCATGAGTGTGGTCTGTGCCATTAAGGGCTGAGTTTATCAGACAGTCTGGTAGGGCTTTGTCGGTATACACAACTAGATAGAGCCAGACACAGAACAACGTGAACTCTTGCAAGCACCTTAAACACTGGCTGATCACTGACCACAATGAGTAGACCAATTCTTCTATCTGTGACTTGAGTGTGACTCTTCCTAGCAGTAAGAAATAATTGGCAATAAGAGTTTGCTGCAGGAGGCTCTAAAGCTAACTGTAGAGGAGGGTTCAAGTCACTGATTTTAAAACTCTCAATATTTAGGGGTGTTCTAGACTGCGACTTGTTAGATTCCAAAAAATATTATACAATTCCAAAATGTTGATGACAAATGAAAATGGGAAACATGACAAGTAAGGCAAATAAATAGGCAGAATCTCTCAGGACTCTCTAGGCTCAGGCCAGCTCTCTTAAACCAACTGCTGCATTTCAGTGTTTCTGGCCCAACTCCTGACCTTGGGTTAAGTGTCATTCACAAAATTTAAAAAAAAAAAAAAAAAAAAAAAAAAAAAGGT